CTCCTCCTTCTTTCCTATCAAACATCTATCGTCCTTATCTCTCCTCCTTCTTTCCTATCAAACATCTATCGTCCTTATCTCTCCTCCTTCTTTCCTATCAAACATCTATCGTCCTTATCTCTCCTCCCTCTTTCCTATCAAACATCTATCGTCCTTATCTCTCCTCCCTCTTTCCTATCAAACATCTATCGTTCTTATCTCTCCTCCCTCTTTCCTATCAAACATCTATCGTTCTTATCTCTCCTCCTTTTTTATCTGTTTGTCACTCTCTTACCTTACCTTACTACCCAATACACCATCTGTCGTTTAGGGCAGCAACAAAGGATCTCCAGCTCTGTCTGTTTTGGGCCATCTTGGTCAGCGTTCCCCACGAACTGTCCGACACCTCTAATGGAACATGCTGTAGATTTTCTCTGTGCTGTAGACATTGTTCCGTGGGTGGTTGGCGGGTGCTCTGGTTGGATTTGCTCCTTCTTTCCTATAAAAAAATCCATCTTCTTTATCTCCCCTCCTACTATTTTGTGTTTGTTACTCTCTTGTGACACCTCTAATCTTCGGCACTTATGTGGCCTTATTGTGTTTGTTACTCTCTTGTGACACCTCGAATCTTTGGCACTTATGTGACCTTATTGTGTTGTAAGTGCCGTAAAACTCTTACTAAAAAAAAAGAAAGCAAAAAAAAAGACATTGTTCCATGTTGAAAATCTGCTCCCAGCTCTTTTCCTGTCGTCTTGTTATTATTGCTGCCAAGATTTTAGCTTTCTCTTCTAATTGTTGTCCAACACATTTAAAAAAACAACCCAGTTCTTGGCACTTGCATTGCTAAGTAGCTTTGAATAAATTGTTGCTTTGTCGGGGTAATTTTTCTGGTCAATCTTACACTTGACTTGAGGTCAATGAAAGTCTTTTAGAATTGTAATAATATCCATGCAGTGTTGCCTATTTCATGATTTAGAGTTTATGTCGTTTCTCCTTGTTGTTCTTTCCTGGTGTCAGAGAGGCCGACCTGCCGTCACGGTGGAGCACAAGCCGGAGGCCATGAGCGTGGTGCTGGACAGAGCCAAAGAGATACAGGTGAGGGGGACCACCTGGGTGACTCAGGAAATGGGAACCTGTTATATTAGCACAATACATCTCTCACTGAGGGTGCGGTGGCAGAGCGGTTACTGCGCTCGTCTCCGAAGCGGAAAGTTCGGGTTCGAGCCTCGTTTCGGACAGAGATTTTTTTCACCCCCTCCTGCCCACCCAGCAGTAATGGGTACCTGACTTCGAGTTGGGGAAGTAAAGGTGGGGTGGAAAGGAACTGGCCACCCTACCACAATATGCCGAAGACCCAGGAAGTTGTCTCACTAACAAAGCAATCCACGATGTCCGGATCGGATGAGGGAACAACTTCACTTTTTTACATCTCTCACCCATTCATCATCATCAACGCCTTCCACCCCTGGCAGGGTGTAGGCCACATACAAGCTCCTTCCATTCATCTCTGTCCTGGGCCATCCTTTCACCCCTGGCAGGGTGTAGGCCACATACAAGCTCCTTCCATTCATCTGTGTACTGGGCCATCCTTCCACCCCTGGCAGGGTGTAGGCCACATACAAGCTCCTTCCATTCATCTGTGTCCTGGGCCATCCTTTCACCCCTGGCAGGGTGTAGGCCACATACAAGCTCCTTCCATTCATCTGTGTACTGGGCCATCCTTCCACCCCTGGCAGGGTGTAGGCCACATACAAGCTCCTTCCATTCATCTCTGTCCTGGGCCATCCTTTCACCCCTGGCAGGGTATAGGCCACATACAAGCTCCTTCCATTCATCTCTGTCCTGGGCCATCCTTTCACCCCTGGCAGTGTGTAGGCCACATACAAGCTCCTTCCATTCATCTCTGTCCTGGGCCATCCTTTCACCCCTGGCAGGGTGTAGGCCACATACAAGCTCCTTCCATTCATCTCTGTCCTGGGCCATCCTTTCACCCCTGGCAGGGTGTAGGCCACATACAAGCTCCTTCCATTCATCTGTGTACTGGGCCATCCTTCCTAGCTCGTTCCAAGTGAGCTTCATTTCTCTCATGTCCCTTTCCACACATCTCCTCCATGTTTCCCGTGGCCTACCCCTGCCTTGTGCTCCCTGTGGGTTCCACTGCAGTGACTGTCTTGTGATGTTTCCGCTGGGCTTTCTGAAGGTGTGTCCCATCCATCGCCACTTTCTTAGTCCTTTCGGCTTTCACGGCCTCGCATCCTAAACTCTCTATCCGGTGAAGATTCACGACCTTCCAAGTTGAGATTATGGTTTTTGCTGTTTCTGTAACAGGTTCTTTTTACGAGAGAGGCTGTTAGCCTTGTGTCCACCATAGTACTTCCTGTTTTAAATCTTGGAAATTTGTCGGCACATAAACACCATTTCCTGCCACAATGGTGATACCGTAGTTAAAAAGATGCCGAAGTGGATGGGTTTGCTGTTTGCTAAATCGGATGTAATCCGTTCTGCTAGCGCTTTGAGGATACGTTTGATGCCGTTTGTAAACTTTTGGTTGTTTTTTTCTAATGGATGGTTGGCGGGTGCTCTTGTGTGGTTTGCTCCTTCTTTCCTATCAGACGTCAATCGTTCTTATCTCTCCTCCTTCTTTTATTTTTATGTTTCTCTCAAGTACTCCAGTACGTGACCCTTTATGACCTGATTTGTGTTGTACGTGCTGTAAATCTCTTAATCAAACCAAACTGAACCAATTTGTTGTGGGTGGTTGGCGGGTGTTCTGGTGAGGTTTGCTCCTTCTTTCCTATCAAACATCTATCATCTTTATCTCTCTTTCTTCTTTTTTATGTTTGTTACTGTCTTGTAATACCTCTAATCTTCTGGCGCTCATATGACCTTATGCAGTTGCGAGCGCCTAAAAACCTCTACTAAAACTAAACTAACTCTTGTAACCCTTCTAGTCTTCGGCACTTATATGATCTTATTGTGTTGTAAGTGCCATAGAACTCTTACTAAAACTGAAAACCAATTTGTTACCTGTACCGGGACCCAACAGACTCAACCAAATGAAATGTCCATTTTGGTGTTGTGCGTGGTTGGCGAGTACTCCGGTGTTGTCTGCTCCTTCTTTCCCATTGTCCTTATCTCTCCTCCTTCTTTTTGGTGTATGCTACTCTCTTGTAACACAGACTCTATTCTTCCTTATTGTGTTGCAAGTGCCGTAAAACTCTTACTAAAATGAATTTATCAACAGAGCCCTGTGTGCGTCTCGACCCCACTGTCCCGCGCCACCCTGGCCAGGTACAACATCCAGCTGGGCATCGCGGGAGAGAAACAGGTGGAGAATGCCTCTTTGGCCGTGCAGCTGTTCCGTGCGTGGGAGAAGGAGAGGAGCAGAGGTAAGCTAGTCGGGGAAACTCACACACCAGCTGGGAATGGACGTTATCGTAACACATTGGAGCGGGTGGTTGGTGGGTGCTCTGGTGTGGTTTGCTTCTTCTTTCCAATAAAACATCTATCACCTATCGTCTTTATCTTTCCTTCTTTTTGTTGTTGTGTGTGTTACTCTCTTGTGACACCTCGAATCTTCGGCACTAATATGACCTGATTGTGTAATCGTGAGATTGCGGGTTCGGGGGTTCGAGCCTCAGCTCAGTCCGACGTTGTGTCCTTGGGAAAGGCACTTTACACGAACTTCCCACTTGGCTCGGTCCTATCGGAGACGGACGTTAAACTAGGAGGTCCCGCCCCTTAAATAACTTAATAGTGTTGATAGGGGCGTTAAACCTATACCTTTTCATTTTTTTGACCTGATTGTGTTGCAAGTGCTGTAAAACTCTTACTACAACAACAACATTTTGGTGTTGCTGTGGTTCTCTGTACTCAAACCAACAAAAATCTTGCTTGTTGTCGTAATTACGTCATTGTCTTTCAGATACATTTGTGGGAAATCTGGGGAAAGTGGTACACTATCATCTTGTTTTTAACTGGATAATGTTAAAGAAAAATGGGAGGGTGGTTGGCGGGTGCTCTAGTGTAGTTTGCTTCTTCTTTCCTATCAAGCATGTATCGTCCTTATCTCCCCTCCTTCTTGTATGTTACTCTCTTGTAACACCACTAATCTTCATCACGTATATGACCTTATTGTGTTGCAAGTGCCGTAAAACTCTTACTCAAACGAAAACTAAACTAAAGAAAAATGGTGTTTTCTTTTTCAGACACGATCTCAGATGATTGGTCGAACCCAAACGACATTCAGTCCCCTGATGAGATTCCTCGTCTGGAGTCGGCAGAGCTTGATGAACCCACGGTGAAAGGTATCGGTGAAGGTAGCTGGACAATTGTGGGGGGTTGGCCGGTGCTCTGGTGAGGTTTGCTTCTTCTTTCCTATCAAACATCTATCGTCCTGATCTCTCCTCCTTTCCTATCAAACATCTATCGTCCTGATCTCTCCTTCTTTCCTATCAAACATCTATCGTCCTGATCTCTCCTCCTTCTTTCCTATCAAACATCTATCGTCCTTATCTCCCCTCCTTCTTTTTTGTTTTTGTTACTCTCTTGTAACACCTCTATTCTTCGGCACTTATATATATGACCTTATTGTGTTGCAAGTGCCGTAAAACTCTTAATAAAACAAAAATCTTGTAACCCCTCTAATCTTCGGCAATTATATGACCTTATTGTGTTGCAAGTGCCGTAAAACACTTACTAAAACTACAATCTCTTCCTGCGTCCAGGTCTGTGCTCCTGTGTGTGGCCGGGCCGCGCTCAGACAATCAGACGACCGGCCTTGACCTACTATCTGGACGGGGCTCACACTCTGGAGAGCATAGAGGTAAGGAACAATGATAGCTAGAATGTAGGCCGTTGCCGTAGCGCCTATTAACCCTATCCGTAGGCCCTGGGGTCATTTTGTACCCCCCGGGGTTGTATTCTTCACATTTTAGAATACTTCAAGTAAGAAGATCTCTTTGAAACTTTCAGTATTTCTCAAAAAATCATTTTGACAGACTGCAATACAAAGCGTACGGATCGATTAACGAGTAAATTTCCTCTTTGGAAAGTGGTGGCACAGAGTTCCCCACGTCGTATGGATACGATAGTAAAACACGACGTACGGATAGGGTTAATGTGAACGTACTATGTGTTTTTGTACATAGGCGTGGAAGAGACTCCTTTTTTCCAACTGTATCTGTCTCAGGTTTGTTATTTCCAACTGTATTTTTGTTATTTCCAACTGTATTATTGTACTGTATTATTGCTATTTCCAACTGTATTATTGTACTGTATTATTGCTATTTCCAACTGTATTATTGTACTGTATTATTGTACTGTATTATTGTACTGTATTATTGCTATTTCCAACTGTATCTGCCTGAGATTGTTATTTCCAACTGTATTGTTATTTCCAACTGTATTGTTATTTCCAACTGTATTGTTATTTCCAACTGTATTGTTATTTCCAACTGTATTGTTATTTCCAACTGTATTGTTATTTCCAACTGTATTGTTATTTCCAACTGTATTGTTATTTCCAACTGTATTGTTATTTCCAACTGTTTCTGTCTCAGGTTTGTTCCTCGTGGTTCAAGAAGGAGGCGGACCGGGAAGTTTCATCTGTGAAGTAAGTCTGTCTGTCTGTGCGTGATGTGTGAACTGAGTGTGGAAGTTCACTGAAATACGTAGTTTATCCCTCGGTAACATTTATGTATACAGCTTGGGACATTACATTTTAGCCGGTGGTTGTTTGTTTTAGTAGAGATTTTACGGCGCTCGCAACTGCATAAGGTCATATGAGCACCAAGGGGTGGTTGTCAACAGAGAAATCTTTACAGGGAATAAAGCTTACACTGCTCACCTCTCTAGTCTCAACAGCACAAAGTCTGCTTCGACTATCAAGGCACCCCGGAAATAGCGGGTCACAAGAGAGTGACAAACATACCAAAAAAATAGAAGAAAAATGACGATAGTAAGGATGAGGAAAGAAAAAGCAGCAGTTCCCCCTATGTTGTTCCGGCACAGTATGAGCATGACATTGATAAATCAACCCATTTACAATTCTACTGTGCGTGAGAACATGCTAATGTCCCCCCTTTGGGAATGGTCTAAAGACACTTCAGTCAGTAGTACCGCCGGGGGGGTGGGGGGGGGGGGGTCGGTAGCTTGTTGGACATCCATGGAGAAAAGAAACAGGCCTGTGGATTATCCTTCCGCTTGCAGCGTGAAATGAGAGCCCAGTGATTGTGGGACTGGCCAAATTGGCTAATTGCTTACTTGGAAATTTACAAGTTCTTTTGAAAAGATAAGGCTTGAACTTTGTGTGGGGAAATGTTCTCCACACCTGCTCAATTCACGTTGCTGACTGTTTTCACAACTCTAGCGTTTTTAATATAATTTGTTTTGGTGTGGTTTCCTCCTTCTTTCCTATCAAACATCTATCGTCCTGATCTCTCCTCCTTCTTTCCTATCAAACATCTATCGTCCTGATCTCTCCTCCTTCTTTCCTATCAAACATCTATCGTCCTTATCTCTCCTCCTTCTTTCCTATCAAACATCTATCGTCCTTATCTCTCCTCCTTCTTTCCTATCAAACATCTATCGTCCTTATCTCTCCTCCTTCTTTTTGTGTTTGTTACTCTCTTGTTACAGTAACACCTGTAATCTTCGGCATTTTTATGACCTTATTGCATTGTGAGTGCTGTAAAACACTTACTAAAAGTAAAACAGTTACATGTATTTGAGAACTGGATTGTAACAGTTTGCGACCTCAGTGCTTTCTTGTCTTATCTCCTTTTTTAATAACAGCGAAAACAGTTCATAGCAAAGAGTGAGCTTAAGAAGATGTCATGTTCTCACTGTTATTTTAAAAAATGGAGATCGGACAAGAAAGCGTTGAGGTCACGAGTTGTTACATGTATTTTTCACAACTTTGTATGTGTCTTTGTTTCATTTTCGTTTCAGATCAGCTCAACAAGACGATTTCTTCGCAGGCCATGCAAGCTCGAGCCGAGAAAAACAGGGAATGCTGGGAAAAACTGAATGCAGCCAGGCCCGGCAGACTTTGGTCCAGGGAGAAGGGGGTTGTAAGGAATGGGGGAGAGGCGAAGGAAGTGGCGGGTATGAAGGTCACGGAGCAGGACATGACGAAACAGGAAGTGGCGGGAGTGAAGCGGAAGGTGGCGGAGGAGAGACAGATCTGCTGCGGGACGCGAGCGACGGCACCAAGTAACGGAAGAGACGGTGCTGAGCTTGCAGCTGACACAACCACTCTGAACAACAATAATAACAATAATAATATCAAGAATAACGTCTGTAACGATGGTGGTAACGGGATCGACAGTGAGGGCGGTGTCTCCTCAAAGAAGCAAAGACTGGACGGATGGAAGAAGTTCCCTCTGAAGGCTGAGGCGGGCGTAGGACTAACGTCCGCCCCTCCCGCGAGAAGACTTAGTTCGACCGCACAAAGAGATTCCGTCTCCCCTCGCTCTGACTCATCCGGAACGGGCAAAGTTCGCGAAGTTGACGAAGAGGAAGTGGGAGGAGGAGTGCGATCGTCTCACACAGACGTGCTCGGTGACTGCGAGAATTTACATGACGCGCGTGTCAGCGTCAGCGTGTCGCACATGTTCCCATGTATCAGCCGCGGCCTGGCGTGGGCGACCCACGGACGCGAGCCGCTCCTCAGCCTGACCCAGGACGACCTTGACCTTCTTCCTTTGCCTGCTGGCCTGAGTGGGGCGGACCATGTGCAGGTTTTGGTCACGGGGAGTTTGTTGTTGGTGGGAGGGGTCCTCACTGTGATAGATCCTGGCATGAACGACTGATGGGTGTGTGTGTGTGGGTGTGTGTGTGTGTGTGTGTGTGTGTATTGTTGTTGGTGGGAGGGGTCCTCACTGTGATAGATCCTGACATGAACGACTGATGGGTGTGTGTGTGGGTGTGTGTGTGTGTGTGTGTGTGTGTGTGTGTGTGTATGTCATTGTTACTGTTACAGACCCCAACAATAACAGCTGATCTCAGTGTGTGCCCCCTCCCCCTTCCCCTCCCCCTCCCTCCCTTTCCATCCCCCTTCCCCTCCCCCTCCCTCCCTTTCCCTCCCCCTTCCCCTCCCCCACCCTCCCTTTCCCTCCCCCCTCTCTGCCCTGTACATGTGGGCTAGATGCTAAGGCTGTGTTCACCATTTACCTTTTCAGAAGGTTGTCATAATACTGCTGTTGTCTCACCAAGTCAGGATAGCAGCTGACCTTGTGTGTCTGTGACCTCCGAGTGTGTTCATGATGTATGACCCTTCAGGACATTCCCAAAGGGGGGACATTAACACGTTCTTATGCACAGTAGAATTGTAAATGGGCTGATTTATCAATGTCATGCTCATAACGGTGCCGAATTTGCAACAGGGAACTGCTGCTTTTTCTTTCCTCATCCTTAATATCATCATTTTCCTCTACTTCTTTTGTATGTTTGTCACACTCTTGTGACCTGCTATTTCCGGGGTGCCTTGATAGTCGAAGCAGACTTTGTGCTGTTGAAGATAAAGAGGTGAGCAGAGTAAGTCTGATTCCCTGTAAGGACTTCTCTGTTGACATCCACCCCTTGGCACTCGTATGACCTTATAAGTTGTGAACGCCGTAAAACCTCTACTAAAACTAATGTAAATGATGTATGATCGTGGTCATGATGCACGAAGTGACGTCATATCGTGGTCATGATGTTTGAAGTGACGTCATATCGTGGTCATGATGTATGAAGTGACGTCATATCGTGGTCATGATGTATGAAGTGACGTCATATCGTGGTCATGATGTATGAAGCAGACAGTGAGTTCTGTATTCTGGATTGTTCTGCTCAAATTGTGAGTGCTCACTTTGTTTTGCTGCTCTCAGTGTTGTGAAAGCTTTATCCAAAGACTGAGTATTATTATATATGTCATATGTAAATATATATTGCTCTATGTATATATATATATATATATATTGTTGACTGCTGTTGTGTAAATGTTTTGATTAGATGCGATGAATTCAGAATGTGATAAACCTCCAAGTTGGAAAGTTTTTTTTGTTTTTGCATGGGTGGTTGGAGGGTGCTCTGGTGTGGTTTACTCCTTCTCTCCTATATCCAATTACTATCGTCCTTACCTCTCTCCTCCTTCTCTCCTACTATCATCCTTACCTCTCTCCTCCTTCTCTGCTATATCCAATTACTATCGTCCTTACATCTCTCCTCCTTCCCTCCTCTCCAATTACTATCGTCGTTACCTCTCTCCTCCTTCTCTTCTTTCTGTGTTACTCTCTAGTAACACCTCTAGTCTTCAGCTTTTAAAATATGACCTGTTTGTGTTGCAAGTGCCGTAAAACTCTTACTAAAACTTTTTTTTTTTAAATCCAAAGACTATTAGTATTACATATTGACGGCTCAGTGTATTACGAGGTAATACGTCACTTTTCCAAATGGTGAATGGCCGAGTTTTGCTTACAATAAGCAATGGATATGTTGTGTATATGGTGTGTAGATGGAGTGGATATGGTGTGTTTATGCTGTGTATATGTAATGGTGTGTTCCTAGTGTGTATGTGGTGTGTATATGGTGTGTACATAGTGTGTATATGGTGTGTAGAATATGTTGACTGCTGCTGTACCTGTGGACATTTTTGGAACAGGATGCAGCGAGGTCAGGGTGTGAGAGAGTTGGCTAGGAAACGTTAGAGACTGTCGATCAGGGCAGCATGCCAGTTTGTCACAGGCCCACCACCCCGCCTCCACCGTGCCCTGCATGATGGAAGTTATCACTGACACTCTCAAATACATTGTCATTGATTGATTCTATAGGAATTGGATTTTATTTTTCAATTTTTTTAAACGAAAGAACATTCGTTGTTGAAATTTTACAGAGTAATTTGTTTTGATTTGCATACAAAAAGGAAGAACTATAGAACAACACACAAGCTGAATGAACATTTCAGAGGGACTATCTCTACACCGACAATTTGAAGGTGGAGAATACAAAATTGAAGTTACGACGACAGTGTTCAAGTGCTGTAATTATGACTGTCATCAATACTGAAATATACTTAAATGAAATTGTGACAAGCTGGGCAGCTCCCGTCAGTCAGGAGTCTTTCGTTCTGGAGCTACACTGTTGAAGGGGTGGTGTATGTTCTTGAGCTACACTGTTGAAGGGTGATGTATGTTCTGGAGCTACACTGTTGAAGGGTGATGTATGTTCTGGAGCTACACTGTTGAAGGGTGGTGTTTGTTCTGGAGCTACACTGTTGAAGGGGTGGTGTTTGTTCTGGAGCTACACTGTTGAAGGGGTGGTGTATGTTCTGGAGCTACACTGTTGAAGGGGTGGTGTTTGTTCTGGAGCTACACTGTTGAAGGGTGGTGCTGCAGTTACAAAAGCCGGTTTGGGGCCAAATGACACAAAATGAGATAATTACACTTTCAGATTCCTGAACCGGTCCTGAACAATATTTAGACAGTGCACACGCCTCCCTACACCTTAAAGTGGTGTTTGGGGGATTTTAGAGTGCGCGGTCAAGTCTCTTTTAGAGAAAATATTTGCCTATTTTTTCCACACAAAAAAAGCATTCTATTTTTTTCACGGTTGGTAGGCTACTATTTTTCTGCTCTATTTCTGACTCGATATTTGTAAGAGGAATTACTGATAGATGCGTTGGTTCTTTATCTGTGAGCTTGAAAAACTAGATTTTTCCAGTTTTTCCGTTATTTCGCTAGAGCCGGATTTGAAAGTGCCATGAAATAAAAACTAAAGTAGATATAAAAAATTCCTCTTACAGAAAGTTTTATCTTTGTCTTATTAGTGTGCATGCTAAGTATGAACCTAATCTGTTAGTAAATAAGGTGAGGAAATTGTTCCTCATTATGATTATGTCTCTAAAATCCAATATGGCCGCCGTTTCCATGGTAAACGAATCAGTAATTTTTATTTTCACAACTGCTAACAAATCTCCATTGCCATATAATAGTCCACACCAAATATAAGCTCCATAGAAGTGGTATTAGCTGAGATAGACTTATTCTGCAGCACCCCCTCTTAACAAGCTACTTTGGAACATTTGACTTGACAGCCAGTTGTGCAGGATTCTCATTGGTAGCTCCGACATTTTGTCATATCTAAACAGATTTTTGCACATGTTGGTGGGGTGTTTCTACGGGTATCCAGAGACGAATTTGGAATGTTTTGTTTTTTTAATCAGTGGTTATTGGGGTTTTTGTCAACTTTGAAAGATTTCATTCTTACTTAGATATCGTAGGTATTGTGTGCCATTAGGAATTTCCTTGCAAAGCGTAAATTCTTTTGTCATGGATTTTGCAAAGTCGTTTGTTTGTTTATTTTCTGGCATTTGGTGAATCCACCAGTCTACCTCATCTTGTGCTTCTTTTGACCCACGTGCATATCACTTGTGGGTGGCTGGCGGGTGCTCTAGTGGGGTTTGTTCCTTCTTTCTTATCAAACATCTTTCATCCTTACCTCTCCTCCTTTCATTTTTTTTTTGGGGGGGTATGTTACTGTTTGGTAACACCTCAGATCTTGGACACATAAATGACCTATTTGTGTTGCAAGTACCGTAAAACTCGGACAAAACCAAAAGCTTGTACAGCTCCCCACCCATCTGACACCCGTCTGACAACCATCTGACACCCATCTGACACCCATCTGACACGTGTACCCATATGACACCCGTCTGACACCTGTCTGGCTCCCGCCTAGCTCCCGTCTGGCTCGGGCCTGCCACAGGTAGACCTTGACATGGAATGTAGTCTTGTAGCCCGTAGACGCCTCTCTTACATCAATGGGAGGGAACCCTAGACAGAGGGAGCGGCTGTAGGAAAAACCTTGACCTTGTACCAAGATCTCGCGTCTTAAAAAGCTTTTACCTCGTAGGAAGATCTCGCATCCTAAAAAGCTTTTTCCTCGTAGGAAGATCTCGCATCCTAAAAAGCTTTTTCCTCGTGTGGAGATCTTGCGTCCAAAAAATAACCCTACACTTACAATGTCAAAAGGGACCTTGAATCTATACAACAACAACAACAACTACAACAACCCTCTCCTATCAGGCTGGATGCCTGTCACTTTTTGTCCCCTCCAAAGTGTTTTCTCTCACCACTCCCGGGCTCTCCGTTAGCTCCGTGGGTATCATGCTGGACTTCCCAGCGGGTGGCCCTGGTTCCAATCCCTGACTGGGCAGTCTTCTACTCGGGTCATTTTGTGGAGTTTTTGTGGCTTTCAACCCGTTTGTTCTGTCCTATCAGAGACGGACGTTCAACTTGGAGGTCCCGCCTCTTTACTAACAATTGGTTATAACCCGGCATGCTCTATTATATGAAGTAGTTTGGCCCGGGTCTATGTACCAGAGCCTGCTGTATTGTTCTACACCA